CCCACACCCACACCCACACCCACACCCACACCCACACCCACACCCACACCCACACCCACACCCACACCCACACCCACACCCACACCCACACTCACACCCACCCACACCCACACCCATCCCCACACCAACACCCACACCCTTAATATAAAACATTAGTGTTGAATTTATTTCATCGCTGCAGTTTCCCTTCAGTCCATTATGTGAGAAACTTAAACAAAGAATTCACGAGCAGCAATATATAAATATATAATAGTTTAACTAATTAATAACCAAATTAATTAAAATATATAAGATGTAGATAATAAGCTAGTTAGCACAGAGAAGAGCTAATCGAGATGTAGAAAAATTATATCATTCTAAAATAAGAAATTTACGATAAATTAATCTTTGATATTAGAATAAGTGGAATGAGAGACAGTCTTGAATTCTTGAATGCTAAGGCCAAATTTTTTGAGAAAATATTCACATCGGACTTATATTTCTTTTGTCACACTTAATATATTAACGATTTAATGATAGATTGCTAAGATGCACGACGATATTAATTTTTTTTCTCCTGTTTGCAACAAAGATCTGTCAATGGATATGAAAGTGTTCACATTAGATACAGAAACTTCGAATTTTCGTGTTAATACTCAAGCTCAATGCAAGGTTTTGATTTGCGCAAAAGTAGCCTTTACCGATCATGAAAACTGTACCTCAATCTTAAGCAAAAACTTAAAACCTAACATTCACGTTCGAATGTTTGATCAGTTGCAATTCATAATCCACATTATAAGAACGCGGCTTGTTTGATTTTTGTCTTTGTATAAAATGGATGATCTACTCAAAATTCATGTTAATAAGGTCACGATTTAAAGTGATTCGTCTTAATTAAAATATGTTGCTATGCAGTCACCCTTCTAAAAGAAGTTAAACATAAAATAAAGGATACCATGTGGAATCATCTTTGTAAAAAGAGCTCTGCATAAAATTAAAACTTGTGATATGGAACTCTCTTCAACGTTTAGATCTCTATTTTATTATTCATGGTTCTATAAAGTGCTCAGAATCATTGGTGGTTTATTTATCATTCAATGAAACCTTTAAAAGTTCAAAAATTTTGATAAAACCACTAATATTTCCTTATGATACCTTTTTTTTTTAGAGAATACTGAGATTCTTCTCGATATAGTTCTATTTAATGCGGATTAGTGTAATCGTTATGCATTGTTTAGATTTTCTTCTTATGACATATGTTTTCGCGCTCTTTATGACATGTTTTTTTGCTATAAGACGAGCTCTTTATGGTGTACACACCCAGTAATATTAAATTGTTTGCTTCATTGAAATATTCTTTCTCTTGAGTGCTTTGTATATAGAAAGATGGGACATAAGGTAAGAACTAAATTGAAAATCATCATATCAGTTGCTTCATCTTAGTTAATCATAAAAATTTTCATTGATTGAGTTAAACTCGCCTTGTGCAAATTTTAAGACAGTGTCAATTAACATCCGTTGACGAATTAGAGCATAGTTGAAGTACTAAATTAAACAGACTATTCTAATTCTAGTATTTCAGTGTCATCCGTTTTATTTGTAGCCAGAGCATCCTATGCGCAAGAACGAATATGGTTAGATACAAAAGTTCGGTTCAACGATCAAACTGCAATTTACAATGAATTAGTGTTATTACAAGTTTCCAAAAGTGGTATTTCAGTAAACCGCCTTCAGCGAGCAGTCAATAATGTTGTTAGAAAACACAATATTTTGAGGACATCAATCAAATATGATTATATCGAAGAATGTTTAAAACAATATATTACACCAATGTCAGACAATGAAAAGAAG